TGGTGTGGGGGAAGGGAAGCAAATAGGAAGAAAGAGTGAGGACGGGGATACCAGATGCACGGAGCTAAGTATCTGGGAGAGGTGAGTGGCTCTGGAAGTGAAAATCAAATGGAAAATTACTCACCGGTGAGAAGACTTGGAAGTCAAGTGAAGGCCGATTTAGTGTACTTCAGATGGCTCATTAGGCTGGCTCTTTCTCAGGTTCACTCTAGAATGATCTGTTTACACTTATTATACGAAGATAACTTATCGCTATGGTTTCTGCCTCCCAGCAGACACGTTGTTCTTACTGAATGGTACACATGCATTGGGCTACAATAAGTGCCACCCCTGGGTGTTTCATTCATAGACCTAAGTGACAGAGTTGGTCTGGTAAAAGCTGAATGAAACTACTCTCTTTTTTTTTTTTTAAGATTTTATTTATTTATTTGCCAGAGAGCACAAGTAGGGGGAGTGGCAGACAGAGGGAGAAGCAGGTTCCCTGCTGAGCAAGGAGCCCAATGCAGAACTCAATCCCAGGACGCTGGGGTCATGATCTGATCCAAATGCAGATGCTTAAGGGACTGAACCACCCAGGTGTCCCTAACTGAAACTACTCTTATGCTCTTATGTTGTTTTTTGTTGTTGTTGTTTTTGTTTTTGTTTTGTTTTGTTTTGGTTTGGTTTGGTTTTTAACCAATTTTCAGGAACATTCTACTCAGTAGACCACCTTTATGGAATAGCCTCCCTTGTCATTTTATAAAATTGTTTCATTCTTTACTACATGTTCTTACCTGTCCATCTTCTTCTCTTCTACCTGAGCCCTAAATACTGGAGTTCCCCAAGATTTATTTCTCCCTAGGTGGGCTCATTCACTCCCAAATGTTCCAAATACTATCAATTTTTAGAAATTCCAGCATATATAATCTAGCTCTAACCTGTGAGCACCAGACTTGTGTCAACTGCTTACATGACCTATCTACTTGGTTGTCTTAAAAAAAAAAATTATTTATTTATTTGAGAGCAAGACACAGCGAGAGAGGGAACACAAGGAGAAGCAGGCTTCCCACTGAGCAGAGAGCCCCATGTGGAGCTTGATCCCAGGATCCTGGGATCATGACCTGAGCCAAACACAGATGCTTAATGACTGAGCCACCGTGGTGCCCTCTACTTGATAGTCTTAAGAGCATCTCAGACACATGAGCTTCAAAGCAGAGCTGATTTTCTCCTCTCAACCGTGCCCTTCTGCAGCTTCCATATCTAACAAACAGATCATTATTTATATTTTCCTAGCTAGGAAACTAGTCCTTTCTCACTCATTACGTCCAATCCAATGCCAAGTCCTATAGGCACCACCCCCTCTGTTGACTCTCCTCATTTGGGCCTCCACCTCTGTCACCTTCCACTTGGACAACTGCAACTCTCTCACTTTCCCCATACTCATTGACTCCCAACATACCTTAATCTCTCCCACCCAGCTGTTAAGCTGAATTGCAAATTGTAAATCATATCATATCACTCAGTTGCAAAACACCCTCTACGATTTCCCATTCTTCCTAGAATAAAATTGAAACTCCTTACCAAGAATAGACAATTTCCTATGTTCTCATTCCTGAATATTTCTCTGGCTTTGTTATTTATTCCATTTTTTCTTACTCAATTTTCTTTGAACACAGTGACCTTTTTTCACTGCCTATAAGATGCCAAGCTCTTTCTTATTCCAGGAACTTTTCATTAGCTTTCCTAGAACATTGGCTATCTTGGCTTCTTATCCCTTGAATGTCACAGAGCTCTTCTTCTCTGACTACTCCAGTTAACATTGTTCTCATTGTCGAATATACTAGCGCCCTCTTTAGTTCTCCCACAGCTCAAGTGTATTTATGTCCTTGTTTTGCACCTTCGTGGACTATAAGAAGCATGACAGTAGAGCTAGTACGATGCCTGGTGCACAGCAGTTTCTCGAATGGATGCCTACGTCATTAAAATTTATTTTATAAAGATTGTATCAAAAGATTTTTTTTAAAATTTGAAGTAAAGAAGAGCCATGCCAATGGTAAAGAAAAACATTTAAATACCAATGCATTTTGACCACTGTCTGGGCTAGATGCCAACCTAATTTTGTGGAAGGATGTGATGAATGAGCTAATAAATGTAAATCAATCTCCTATTTCCTTGAATATAAATTTTATATTAAATTACTTGCTGTGAGGAGCCATTTAGTTATTCTCAATGATATCTTAAGTTAAAGGGAGAATGGCTTTCACTGCAATAGAGATTAAATGATTCCAATTATGTCAAATTGATGGAAATTCTCACTAGCCCAGGGTCAGTAAGACCCATTTGGAAAGTCCTGAGCTGGATGCCACTGGTGCACAGAAGCTCATTCTTATTTTTTGTATCCCAGATTATCAGCCTCCAAAGATGGACAGTTTTTTTTAACATCTTAAATAGACCTCACTTTAAGTGGACTTTTGTTTTATTGGGAAAGTAAAGATGTAGTCAATTTAATAACTATTTTTTGTGTAGGTAGTTCTTAGGGGTCACTGATTCTCTAACTTCCTTCTACCCTACCGAACACAAAAATAAAACAGAGCCATCCAGGAACTGTCCGTTGCCCTTCAGTGATAATGAATTAACCAGAGGACCTATAAACATGCCCTTGATTCGGCTTATGGTTCTCAGCTGGGATTTGTGGGTGAAAAATGAAAAGGAGGTTTTGTCAAAAAAAAAAAAAAGATTTCAGGGGCACCTCAGTATCTCAGTTGGTTAAGCGGCTGCCTTTGGCTCAGGTCATGATCCCGGGGTCCTGGGATCAAACCCCACATTGGGCTCCCTGTCAGCTGGGAGCCTGCTGCTCCCTCTTCCTCTGCCTGCTGCTCCCTCTTCCTCTGCCTGCTGCTCCTCCTGCTTGTGTTCTCGTGCTCTCTCTCTGTCAAATAAATAAATAAAATCTTAAAAAAAACAATTCAATCTACAAGCATTTTTTTTTTTTTTTTTGAGGATCCACTGTGTCTAAGGCGGTGTGCTGGGCACTCTGATTCCTACTCTCAGGGAATTCACCGTCAAGTAATGGGTTTCTTTGATACATAACTAGATATCACAAAGTGCAAGAAAAAGTTCCCAACAGAGGTGAAAAATAAGGTAGTATAGACATTCAGAGGAGAGGATGCACTTCACTTGGGATTATTAGAAAAATCTTCACTGAAGTTTAGTCACTTTCCCCGAGCTTTGGAAACTATTATGACCAGGCTATGTAAGGTGGGGAGCATGAATTTCTATCTCAGCGAGCTGGGGAAATGTATGCAGAACAAGGAAGTATCTGAAAGGAGAGAAGAGAAGAGAGAGAGTGAGATTGGGAAAGTAGGGCAGGGTGTGTCTCAGCAGCCCACATGTAAGCAAGGCTATGTAGGTGAACTTCATCCCATAAGCACTGGGGAGCCTTACAGGCTGGCGATCAAGGCTGTACATGAGTGAAGTCATGCTATGGGAAATGGGGAGCACAACCGTTGGAGAAAGACCTGCTAGACGGTCTCTCAAAAGTTGATGATGGTGACACAGGTGGACATTTTGGAGGTAGTTTCAATAGATTCTGGTAACTCTTTAGAAGAGGGATATAAGAGATTCAAGTGTGATTCAGATAGTTTGAGCTGGATGGCTGGAAGGCTAGTTGCACCACTAAAAGAAATGGACCCTGGGAAGAGCAGCTGTGGGAAGGACAGCCGTAGATGCGGGTCCAGAAGAGCCGGTTTGGATGCTAGTAGGATACAAAGTGTGCAGTCATGGGAGTGGACGTTAGGAGAAATTTAGAGGCTGGTGATACAGTCCTGTGATCATTGCCGTTACCTGAAAGCCTGTGATTTATGAAGTTTTCAAAAGAGAGATTATGGAGAGATAAAAGAAGACTAAGAATAGACAATCAGGGAACACTCGCATTAATTGGGTCAGGGAAAAAAAAAGGTAGAAAACTAGACACAGGAGAAGTGTTGGAAGGAGGAGGATCCCAGGTCATGAAGACCATTCTAGGAGAAACTTCTCAAGAAGAAAGTGCCCATGAATGCCAACTGTATACCTTTAAATTATGCATCGTTTAAAGCTACCTATCATGTCTGTGATGCTGGATTTCGTGTCCCCTGGTGCCCAGCAAACTGCTCTGCTCATCGTCACTAAAATTTTACCCAACAAATAGTTTTTTGGTTGTTCTGCTTGAAGAGATCTGGTTGTAAGGTAATGTGCATACAGGTAAAGAAGGAAGCATTGGTTGAAAATAAGAAATTAAAGTAGAAGATGAGACAATGTAATGGGATGTTGGTGGCAAGCAATTAGATGGACTTTATGCTGGTGTGTGACTTTCTTAAATACAGTGTGATACATAGACCAAAAAACAGATATTCCCCAGGAGGAGGAACCAATGACAAAAACAAAAGGGGGAAAATAAAGTCAAAGATATGCATCTAAGCCTTATGCTGTTGTTAACATCTGTACACCAAATCGACCTAATTACATCTGTTCTTATTAAGGGAAGGGTACACAGATAAAGTAACATAATGCCATTCCTATGGAAGTTAGCCTTTTGTTTTTTATTAGTAAACAATAGGAGGGCAATCAATGAATTCAACAAGCCACAGGAACGTGACTAGCCTTGCAAGTTGGTCTGGATGTCACGGGTGTGCGCCACCAGGAAGCGCACTAAGACTTCGTGCTGATAAAAATGCAAATGAGGAAGTGGCTTGTATTAAGGAAGGACGATACAATTCCATTTTAATTTATTTCAAGCTTCCTTTCTTTCTCAGACCATCTCCTGTGCTATGTTCAAATGTCGCACGTTAATCTGGAACTCGATTGTGAAGTTCTTTTAAACAATCACATGTCAAATTGACTCTGTAGGAAGGAAGGCATGTTTGCTTGATAGGAAATGGGGTCTTATGGTTTAGGTATTTCTTTCTGAAGAACTGCGAGTCCGCTGGATATTTACCCATCTCCCCTTCTCACCCCCTCCCTTACCCCCCGCGGTTGCTTCGCAGGTCACGGAACGTGCTCCTGCGGTCGCTGCGTGTGTGAGAGAGGCTGGTTCGGGACGCTCTGCCAGCACCCGCGCAAGTGCAACATGACGGAGGAGCAAAGCAAGAGCTTGTGTGAATCAGCAGATGGCATATTGTGCTCGGGGAAGGGTGAGTGTCTCTGCCGGAGCTTGGACCTGGTCCCTGTTCTGACACAGGGTTTGTGCGGCAGCGCGTCCCTTTGCAGGAATGAGAACCACGCTGCCCTCTGCTTTACCGGACTTGATTTCAAAGTTAACCAACACGAAGGGCGGGTAGGGGAGAGTCTAGGACAAGGAAATGGGTGGGAAGGACTTCCTGCGAGAAGGTCCTGAGCCATCACCGTGGCTGAGTGACGGGTAATTAATAATTGCATGAAAGACAAAAGACAGCAAATACAATGCGCAGTGAATGGACCCCACTCCCCCAAAAGGCAGAGGGGTAATTGTTGAATTCATCTGTGAGAACAGCGCAGCCCAGAACTGCAGAAAAGTGATCGCAAGTTTCTGAACTGTCCGAGTCTGGGTGATGTAGATGGGTGCGTGGGGGAGGGGAGCGGTGAAGGTGAGAGAAGGAGGTGAAGGGAAACTAAAGATTTTGTTTCATAAAAAAAGGATAGGAAGAGTCTATGGGTCAAAAAGTTTTGGCGTCATTTTCTTTGGTCTAAAAATCACCCATTTTCCAACCAAACATGTGTAATCTAATATATAATAAAAATTAAGGCTGCAATGTTTTTATAATTCACAAGTTGATTGACTAGGAGCCACCATCCCAATCAAACATTTACTACAGAAATAAATTCTAGAAGAATAGCAATCCTGCCCAGAAAAAGCAGAACAGATTTTTCTTTTCTTTTTTTCTGAGAAAGAACACTGACAGATTAAATTTCAGGCACCTTGATGTTTATGTTTCTGTGCGAATTCTTGAGGGACTTGAAAATCCTGTTCTCATGGTGCATATGGGCTCATCTAGAAGTCTGTCACGTTCCTCCTTGCTAGTGCCTAGGAAAACACCAGGAAGGCTCTGGAAGTTCACCAGATTCTCAGTAACGTTTGGGAGCCACCCTTCATGAGACTAGATGGTACAGAGTGTCCATGGTCCTTCTTCAACACAGAGGTCTCCTTGTCCAACACCGGCCCCGCTCCTTTTCAGACAAGGCACAGCTGGAGTTGAAACTGCACTGTTTGCCCCAGTGAAGCCCAGTGAATGGCTGGGGAGGGACGACGGAGGCTTCAGGGGCTGTTCCTTTACCTACCACCGAAGGCCTCCGCCATCAGGCTCAGAGAAGCTTTTTGGCTTAACTGCGAAGATAAAATCCGGTGGAATGTTGTGACCCCATGTGATGCCAAGAGGAAGGCAGAAAATTGAAACCTGCTCAATTTCAACAGACAACTGTGCTGGTCCTTGGTTTCCAGGAATGCTGGCTTTGAGACTCTGTGTTTCCCGTGCTCTGCCCGGGGAGGCCGTAACGGTAGCCGGCAGGTGGCAATCGGCTGAGTTTCAAGCAACCACTTTGTTCCCTGCGTGTTCTCTTACTCAGTTCGTTCTCACTCCAACTCCCAGATGAATCTAGCACCAGTCTGTCCGTCAGGGGCTCTCAACGCCTGGAAACACTTGCTTTAGGTTCAAGCTCTGTTGGGAGAGCCTGAAAGGGGGAAGGAATTGTGGAGGAGGAGATTAACAAAGGAAGCAGAAAAGAAGGTGGGAATGGAATTAACCCTTCCAGAGGAAGCAGATGGGGGGAAAAAAGAAACGTTATCAGATCAGAAGGCGGCGTCCTGCAAATAACCAAAGGGTGAGAATGATTAGCCTTACCTGAATTAGATTTCTTCTTTCTGAGTACAGCTCCAAAGGCAGAACCCTAAAGCTTTGACTTTTTTTTTTTTAGTTGGTTTTCCAACTTTTTTTAGTTGGTTTTCTGTAATGGCATCGTTGTTGGAATAAGGATAGTAAGTTTTCACAGAAGCTCTACAGAAAATGAGGATTTTCTGTCACATGAAAACATTAGTGTGCTCTTAACATTAGTTTACTTTAAAAATCAGTCACTTTGGGCGCGCACGGGCATGCGTGTGTGAATTTACATTTACGAGAAGCACTGAGGAATCCTTAACACAGTCCACGAGCAGGCCGTGGCTAAGTCGGGTCCAGCTGCATTTATAGGCAGAAAGCACAAAGCCATGCTCACCCACACAGCAAACACCGATCTGTCGTTTCCTCCACTGAATTTCATACGAAGAGGAGTTGTTTCGTTTGAAGAAATGAACGTTCTTCTTAAAGCCACGACTTCCTGAGGAGAGTCTCTATTTTTCAGCATCATAAATGCAGAAAATGCAAAAAGAATAGGTTGACTAAATATGGACCCAGAGGCATTTCCTCAAAACAAAACAGAACAAGGAGATCTCTCTCTAGTTAATGCCTTTTCAAATTGTTTGCTTTGGGTGATGGAAATATATCCAGAGATCAATGAAGGGTTGAAAGCCTGTTTGTCTAAGAGGTTTATCCTTCAGTGAGTAGAGAGTTTTAGAGTCGTTAAACTCAGAAGAGAATGTGAAAGATGCCTGGAGGCTGCACTTTTTGATGCTGGTGTCGTGGTGATGACGGGCCTTCCTACTGGTGGCAGCAGCTGGCTGCGGCTTTCTCTCCTGTTCTGGAGAGCTCCATGCTTCCATACAGGAAGAAAGGGGCTAAAACCGAGATCATGAAACTATAGGTACAGAGGAGAACGAGGGGCAGCCATTATTCCTGTCCCCATGGAAGGTGCCACTCCACCCTCACCCCAAGAACCACCGAAAAAGTAGTCCAGGAGTAGACTAATGGTCTCCTAACATGGTGGCGATGTAGAGGGGCCTTGACCGGGGCCGTGTATTTCTCCATCTCATGGACTTGCCAGAATTCCATATACTCTTTGCCAGATTTACAAATGAAAACCCTTCCCCCTGATGATCACAGAGGAAGTTGGAGGCTTTCTCTTTCTCCAGACATGGGACGGGCATGAGCAGTAAGCCTGAGGTGACGTGGCTGCCCGGTGACGGCCCAGACCGCCCGCTTAGCATTTCCACCATCAAGACAAGCCTGGAACATGCGCTTCCCGTGAGCTGTGAATAAAGTTGTCACCTCAGGAGACGATGAAGAAATAGCGTTTTATTTCTTTACAAATTGATAGCCAAGACAATAAATCACTCCATAGAAAAAGTGAAAACAAGATACATTGTTGTGACCTTCATAACAGATGGAGTAGTTAATACAATAATGAGAAGTGCCTGCTGGGATGTCAGGTTGAAGCATTTTGTCAGGCTTGATGAACGAAAAAGAAAGTCGAACTTTAGTAATGGGACAGCTAACGGAGGCGCCTTGCCCTCAGTCTCATGTCGTTTCTGTGAAGAGCCAGAGGGTTGAGCTTAGAGCCAGGTCTCCCTGAGTTTAGCCACCGTTGCAGAATACGTGATATAATTCATAGGCTGTTTGTTGGGGGTTTATTTTTATGGATCCAGAGTACCCAAAGACCTTTTTCCCATCATTAACTTCAACTTAGATCCGGGTCATCACCTGTAATACTCTTAAAGCTGCTGTTGTGTGACAGTGACTCTAGCTGTGTGTCGTTGGTGTCTCCTTAAACTCTCCCAAGGATACTTGCGAGTTCCGTATCAGCCGTGCAAGTCACGGTGCTCATGCTCACCCACCTGTCGTCCCCTCTGCTCCACCCCCGGCTCGTCACCTCCAGGAAAGGGAAAGGGCACCAGCTGCACCTCAAACACCAGCTTTAGCCCAGTGTTCTAGTTGCTTCCCCCGATGTGGCTATCTCATCAGAGCTGTGAGAACACACAACTCATTTTTTGAAACTCCATGGACGTTTTTCCTATGAGGGGCGTTATGGACAGGTAGGAAGATAGAAGAACAGACTGAGTCAGACTGAAATCTTGGGATAACTGTTGTTTCTGGCTCATGTGGCCCTGGGCAATTCCCTTATCCTGTCTGTGCTTCCATTTTCTCATCTTTGAAGAAGGCAGAAGAATCTCATTTCTTTCCCCTTCTTAAGTTCATCTGAAGACACATGAGAAAATGCGGCTGGTTCCCCAGGAATGGAAGCCAGTAAGAAGCACAGAAGGGAGATGGGAGCCTTCTTGGGGGCCGTGATACTGAGAAAGAAAATAAATGGGTTAGTGATGTGGGGTCCTGAGCCTACTACCTGAGAGGTCTTGCCAAAATGGGCCAGCTTCTCCCGGTGGCAGGACTGGTCTCATGGGTGTGAGTGGGTCCCAGCCAGCTGAACAAAACAGTTGGTCACCTCTTGGCAGTCATGTGGCCTGTGTGTGTCCAACAGAATCCTCTCCCTCAATTTTCCCCTTTGCAGAGACAGGCAGTCTGGCCTCTAGTTTTCGATGGAAATAGCCAGAGCGCTCTACGACAAAGGCTATAAGAGGTCCTCATAACTCTCTCGCTGTGTTAGTACATGCGAGGCCACTCGTTTCACAAGCCCTAGAAGAATCCCCGACCTCTGGGATACACTGAGAATTGACAAACAGGAAAGGAGCAACACAGCTGGGAAAGATGCTGACCAAGAAAAGCTCGTTTTCACAGCGCACACAAAAATCAATCCGCATTTCTCTTTCTAAGTATTTCAGTAACTAGTAGACTCTGGGAACTGGAATGTACTTGTCAAATGGTCTATCAGTGTGCACCGTATTAACTTTAGCTGAGCTTATCAGTTTTAGGAAAATACATTGATATGGCCTGAAATGAGCATTTCAGAAGCTAGAGCAGAGATCAGAATAGTTTCAGAGCCAGGGGATCAGTTTAATGTGAAATGTGAGAGCTTTTCGTGAATTGTGACAAAATAAAAAAAGATATCCTAGGTGTGATAGACGAATATCGTGGACACATAAAGTCATTTGCTTCTGCTGCTTTGCAGAACTAATTTTGCAATGTAAGGGAGGCACCATTTTAGAAACAACTAAAACCAGTCAAATTCTTCAAATAATTAATCTTCCTCTAGTCGTGGAAAGAAGGCCGTAGCTATGGTGCCTTTTGAGGAAATTGCCATGAAAAGTCAATAAAATGCCCCCAGGTTTTCTTTGTGGTGGATACATCGTTACCCATCTGCTAAGTGAGTCGTTGTATGTTGAACATTTCTGGGCCTAAGATAATCGAAAGAAAGTCTTTAAGAGAAATATGCTTTTGAACTAACAAAGCTCTCTACCGGGATGTGGCCAAGAAGGAGCCACCATCCCCAGGGATGACCAGGAGGCTCGGCTCCTGGGTCCTGTGCAGCCTGCCAGTCACTCCGCAGAAGGGAGAGTTGTCTAGCTTGTGCTCAAGAGTGTGCAGACCATCCCAGACCCTCAGGAAAACAGCCAAGACTAAATGAAATCATGCTGTGGTTAAGCAAGGAGTTGATCAGGGTAAACACAGTTGTCAGCCTCTCACTAATTCTGACTACTCTCTCACCGTGAGAAGTGTGGCAAGGCGTGTACCACATTTAATTTGGCCACTGGGGATTCTCGTAGCTAAATGCACATGCCAGTTTCCGTATAAAATACCAAAAATTGCCAGAGGCGTGGGGCCCGTTTATATGAATCCTTTCATGATATCTGTGATAAATATCAATTCCTTTCTCCAACCACTTTTATCTCCCAGCTTGCTAACTCATTCTTCAATCACTGTGTTTCACAGAGACACCAATTAATGATTGTCCCCGCCCCCCACCCCACTCCATTTTGAACTTAGCAAGTCTGGAATTGTGTTAAATATATCAAAATACTTTTTTCTACTTCACATCCTCCTTCGGTGATTTTTGACCTGAAACATTAAGTGATAGCCCTCATTTAGTAAAAGGAAATCACATTGGGAAGGAAAAACCAAGCTGAGAACATAGGAGGAAGGGGAAGTCCTTTTTGTGTGTGTTTCTTTTTGAATTTTAAAGTTGTCTTTACTGCCTCTACAGGAGTCATTTTGCCGTGGGAGGGTTTTTGAGCCTATCGTGTAAGGGCGGGTAGACCAAGAGAACTCTCTTCTCTTTGTGAGACCATTTAATTCGTATGTTTTCTCTCCTTTTAAATACACCGTTCATAAAATTGTTTTTCAGGACACCAAGATATTTTAATAACAGAAGTGGAAGTTTCTTACTGGTAGGAAATAAAAAGAGGGCAAAGGGGGGAAGTAATGAAGAAGGTGGTTAGACGCAGAGCCTCCTAGAAGATCGATCAGCTTTTGAGGGGAGATTAGAGCTGTCCTTGATCATGGTAAGGGATTCCCCAAGGTGAGATCCCGTAAGTCAGACGCCCACGAGTAGTCGTGTGCGCATTTGGAGAACTTTAACGAGCCACCCAATATGCAGGTGTGTCCCTCCTTTCAGAAAATCCAAAAGTAGAAGCCCAATAATTTAATAGTAATTTTAATTATAAAATGCATCCTTATTTAATAGAACTTACCGTTCAGTTCCCTTAAAGAGCAGACACTTTTAAAACATGATTCAACTCAGGGGAAAAAAAAAGAGAGAGAGAGAGAGAGAGAACAAATCTGTTTTTGAACACTTTTTTGGAAGGCCGTCTATAAGAATCAGCACATTCTGCTCTTGCTGACATTTCAGCCAGACTGGGTCATGGAACGTTTGCTCAAGGCTAATTGCAACCGTCTAGATCCATAACGAAGCCTTTCCTGGTTGACCTTTATGAATTGCAGTAAGTAAAGCTCCCCTCTGAGCAACAGGCTCTTCGATAAACTTGTATCTTGGGAAGATGGGTTTTGAGAAGCCTGTTGTCTGTGCGTTGAGGGTGTCCTATTCTAGACAGAAGCCTTTAGTTGTGCAGTGACAGCGAGTCGTGCCCTTTGTGATTTCAGGTTCTTGCCACTGTGGAAAGTGCATTTGCTCTGCGGAAGAGTGGTACATTTCGGGAGAACTCTGTGACTGTGACGACAGGGACTGTGACAAGCACGACGGCCTCATTTGCACAGGTGCGGTATGACCCGCCGGGCTCGCTCTGCACCCCCGTTTGGGAGAAAGACGGACAGCACCTGCCACAGGGTGCCGCCCCGGGCCGCGTGGTCGCTGCTGCTCTCCCGATGATCCAGTCCCGAGAACGGCTTATAAAATGCATGCGCTTAAACAAGGTCCGGGGGAGATAGAGATGGAGATGAGGCTGAGCTGGAATGGAACAGGGTGGTCACTACTGGCGGACACTACCCAGCTGGTGGCACCAAGCGGAGGCCAGCAGTCGTTTGAAAGATCAGATTCCCCGTAGCTGTTTAAGAAGCTACTAGTAAGGCAGCTGCAGAGGATGAGTGGAATGGCTTTGATTCTGAGTGGCTGGGGGAGATAAGAACGTATTTTCACCTGGTGCATTTCGGTCATGATGATGACCCCCCCCCGCCCCCGTGTATTTTCTTGCAGGGAATGGAATCTGTAACTGCGGGAACTGTGAGTGCTGGGACGGGTGGAACGGAAATGCATGCGAAATATGGCTTGGCACGGAGTATCCTTAACAACTACATGGGAGACGACTGGAGTCTTACTTTTCTAGGCCATTAGAACAATGTAAATGCGAAGGAAACCATGTATAATCACCACTAGGACAGGTCAAACAGACGATTGTTATGTTTTTCTATTTCTGAATGCCTGCATGACGTCTGGGTACCTATTAAAAAATGAGTTAAGCAAAGTCTGATGTAAATAATGCCAGAAAGAAATTCTCTTCCAGAATTTACATCAGTGGTTCTCAACAAGGGTGACGGTGCCACCTGGAAAACACTTGGCAACATCTACAGACAATTTCAGTTGTCACACTGGGTGGGGTGGGAGGCCGTGGAACAGGCCTTGAGTGGGTAGAGGCCAGAGAGGCTGCTAACCCTCCTCGGGGGTACAGGACGGCCCCCGCAACAAGAAGTTAGCAGACTCCAAGCATCGATAGTGCCGGAGCTGAGAAACGTTGAGTTCCATGGCCGGTAGACATGCATATCCCTCACAAAAAGACCACATGAGAATCTCAGGAAAATACCCTCACATAAATCCATCAGTCATATTTTTTTCAGGATTCCCTGTCACTCAGCGCTTCCGTGGGGGGACAATAAAGACAAACAAACATAAGGGACAATGACCGGGGTTGGGGAGGATTGGGGGTGGGGTAGGGGGAAGGCAAGGGGAGGCGGGGCGGGGGGCGGGCAGACGGCAGATCATTAGTGCTTTTCAAAGAAAAAGACTGGTCAGTTTTAGCCAGTAAGTCATTCATCTGGTCTCACTTTAAACTCACAAAAGAAGATTCTCTTAGGAAGGAGGTATGAAAAGTATAGAATTTGACATTTTTAATAGCTAACGATGTAAGTTGCTTACAATCTGTGTCGATATATATTTGCCTACTGCTGATAAACAATAACACAAAACGAATGGGTATTCAGGGCACCTTCTGTTCCTAGATCCCTTTTTAAACTGGGCAGGGGTAGGTGTACAAGGACTCTGATTTTTCACTATTTAAATTATTCCGTGGTAACTTGCCTTTTAAAAAGATAATATCTAATTGGGCCTAGGATAGGCTTAGAATATGCATTTGTTTCCCTTAAAAAACTCTTATATCTAAGGACACATTATTTACTGCAATAGTAGGGTCATGCAGAGAAGTCAGGAAGAGATACTGTGATCAAATGATACCAGTCTCAAAGCTCAAAGGATAAAAAAAAAATCTAGAAATGTCTTAAGTAGAAATTACAAATATTCACTCAGCAATAGGAACAAAATGTTTATTTTCTTAATGGTGAAATTTTGCTCTGTATGAAATTCACATTGAATTATGAAAATGTACAATAATTAGGACTTCCCTTACATATTTACAGTTAAATCTACTTACACACATTAGTTTAGGCAACCTTTAATTATTTGGAGCTAAAAAAAACCCACTTTTTTTTCTAAATGTGAATTATATTTTGTAAAATCCTAGAATAATGTAACAAAACCATTTTTCCGCATTAAGATGAAAATTTTTACTTGGAAATTTTACTTAATGATGTAAGTATTCTAGAGTCATGGCTTGGACTTTGTAAGTCAAGTCACCAAAAATAAGGAAAATGTGCATTTGCCAAGTTACTTAAAAATTTAATATTGAAAATTATTTAAGAGAAAGTTTATCTGATGCCGACTTTTATAGTACTGATAGTGTTCTCATACTTTAATAGAGTTATAAAATTGTTATCTCTATCCTGAGATTATGGAGTGCAACCATATTCGTTGTATCTCTATTGTTGAGTATGTCCGTTGATATATCGGTTTTGTAAAATGAGGGAAATAGAAGCAGTTGAGAAATAATATAGAGTATATTCTTTCCTCCTCTCTATTTAATCATTTTAAGCCTCAAACAAACCTGTTGTAATTGTTCAGTCACATTTTTGATGACTCGATGATGTACCATCATCCAAATTCCCTTCATTATCTCGCCATCATAACACAAACCACCTTTGACTTTCCCTCCTGCAGAACTATAAAGGACCAGAGTAAATATTTTAGACCTTGTGGGCCACACAGTCTAAGAAGAAGTTGGATTTCTTCTCTGTTTGTTTGTTTTTAATCTTTTAAAACTATAAAAGGGAAAACAGAAAGCAAACTCATTTGGAGCTCATGGGCATTTTTACAAAAACAGACTGTGCTCAATTTGGCTCCCAGCCAAGCAGCATTTTGCCAACCTGAGCTCCCCTGAAGCCGCCCTTAATTTCCTTTGTCTTATCCTGCAATCCCAAGTGCGCCTTATTTTTCTTAAGGTTCTCTACATTTTTTATCCCTTTTGTTAACAATGACAACGAAAGGGCTTCTCTTTTTATGTTTTCATAGAAGAAAGGTGTCCTCAGCATTTAGGTATTTTACAAAAGAAGTTTTGAGTTGGAGAAATTATTATACTAGAAAGTTCGAAATGTGATTTGCTCAAATTTTTTGACAGGGCTGAAAATGTATGACAGCTATCTTCTGGGTTCATTTAGCTACAAATTATTGAACGGAAACTGAGTTACAGCGTAAGTCACTTGGTACCTAATCACTAATGAATATTTTTCTTTTAAAACAGAAATAGTTTCTTTTTATTTCTTTCTGTCTGCTATAATATTTCGTATGCGTGTATATGATTTTGACTCTAGCAATGCAATCATCAATAGACCTATTAAGAAGTTATTTAATTTACATGTTTAAGCTGGAAAAAAATAAAATATAGTTACATGTAAAGACGTAAATCCTACCCTTCTTTGATGTGATTTTGCATTTTGACTTTTAATTCCATTACTAAGTTAAAAAAAAAACTCCCTCCTTCAAAAAAAGGCAGGGCAGGAAGAAACTTGTAATAGGAGAAGGGTGAACGTGCGAAGCTCGTTGGCTTGTTCGAGTTCATGTGAAGATTAAAGTGATTTGGGGAGGAGGAGACACATTTGCAGCTGGTGTTGGCACTCACCCTGCTTGTTGGCAAACCATTACTGAGGAATTCTTCCACAAGGACTTTTCAATAAAATTCAACTAATGTCCTAAGACCCAAGAGGATAATAATTATACCCCATTTTCTCCCTGGACCCCTTGAGCTAACCTAGATTCCTGCAGCACCTTGAAAGGAATGGCCTCCGCCACTTCAAAAGCAAACAGTCTCTGCCAGCATACATCAAGATCAGACCAAACGAGAGAAAACCAAGAAAAAATTAAAAACAAATCGCAACTCAGCCTTTGTTTACAAGACTCACTACCAAAACTCGGAAGCCCTACTCGGTGTCCAAGAGTCAACAGGCCTTGTGTGCCCCCTCGTAATCTAAGAAACTCCAGCTAGGAAATGTGTTTTACTCCAAAGTAACACAGTTTGTGTCCGGATGTTGACATGTCTGCATTTAGCCAATTGCTTTCCCTGGAAATAGTCTTCTTCTGAAACACCATTGAAAATAGGTTTTGGTTATTTTATTTCCTTCTAAAACGGATTTCTTAGTCAATCTGATCTCTCCTTCAAACATTCATTCTCCCTGTCACGTTAGAAATAAGACCTTAAATGAAGTGCTACGTGTCTAACTTCAGCAACAAGAAGTTTTTGTTGTTCTGTTTTCTGAAAGAAAACCAAATCTAACATTGTTCATCTTGAAAACCTCTGTTTTAGTGGCTTAGGCCTTAATTGAGCAACTGGTCAGGTGTGTTAAAAAAATACTCACTCCGCTTACCCTCCAAGAGGTAAACAATCAGGCCTGCGGCAAGAGTGTCGTCGGCCCACTGGGGAGCTCCTAAAACCTTCTCCTATCCCCAAACACTCGGGGCAGGCAAACGTTTAGGGCAAAAATTTCTAAATTCTGCAGGATTTGCAATGAAATGTTGCTCAGTACCATTTTACTCTTTACATAGGATGCACCATCTGCTTCTCTTCTATAATTTTTTTCCAAGTAAAGCAGGAGCCGAACATTTTAGAAAGCGAACCCAAAAGAAAATAAAAGCGGTGTCCCCTGGAAAATCAAAACAACGAACATTCCCGAGCATTGCGGAGGGATGGGTTAAGCAATCAGCTACCGTGACAGGTCAGTAGAAAGAACCCCCCACCAGATACGCATGCAAAAGGCATGGGACACTAGAGAGACTCGATGCCATTGACATGTGTACATGGAGGTACAAAACACACGGTCTGTGATACAAATGAATTCCATCAGATTTACTATACAGAACATCAATGATGACAGATTGCACTTGCTTAATAACAGCCAACTTCATTTGTGAGGGGAAAAATGGTGGCGTCGTATCCCAGAAAAATAGCAAGAGAGGTATCATCAAAGAGCTAAAATTTTCTTTGGCATGGTAAAGGGGGACATTGAGTGTACCAACTTATTTACATGACATTTCTCTATATTTGTGGGTGAAGCAATGCCATTTTGTTACATAAAGTTGTTTGATGTTTTGTAATATGCCTTCATATCAATATTTTATTCAGTATGTTGTATTTGTGAATACAACAAATGGTATTAAACACAGAAACTATACAATGCAGACAGACTCTTTGCATGTAAATTGAATAGTACATACCAACAGTTCTTGATACACAGGTCCTACTACATGCATTTCATCGGTGCTGTCCTCGTCCCATGCAACAGGTGAGACCAGACACAAAGGAAACCATCTAATTTACAAATAACAAGGACCCGTCAGCAATATGTCTAAACATGTATCAGAAGAAAGTATTTGACATCCATTCATAGGGATAAATGCCCTTGGAGACAACTCATATAAAAAACAAAACAGAGGTGCACATTGACATAAATCTCGGTCATTTACAAAAATAAATCTTGTCTTAATTTTAACCAATAAACAGGCTTGCGGGGGTGGGGGATGGGGGGAACAGCATATAGGGCTGATTACCAGAAGAAAATAGGTGGGGTTGTTTGGTGTGTGTGCGTGTGTCTGCGCGCGCTTTGGGGCAAGCAGTGTCTTGAAGCCCATCTAATTGGAATGTCAAATTAAATAATTCGGTTTGCCACAGATTATAGAATACATGTCTTCCCTAATAACTGGCTTGTGAAATTCATCTAATGGATTTGAACTCATCCTGTTGAAAATGATAAGCTTTAAAATGGTGTCACAAGAAATCAAAAATGGTTGAAGGAATCATTTTGTTGTATTCATACTTTAGCATTATTGACAATAAATCTACTCAAACATATGCTAACTTTTTATTTATTAAAATGAAATCCAATATGAAAATGAAGTAAGCATAAACAGTTAAATTTATACTAAATCTTTAATCAGCTAAGCAGGCCAAAATTTTTAAATGCCGGGCAAGGGCTGTCATGGAGACTTAGGAACGCAGTGGCAAAATAATTTCCCAGGAAATACAGTGCAGATGAGGGAAGGAGAAGGGGTGGGGGGGGGCATGGCGACTGGGTCAGCCTTCCACGTGGAAGTAATCGTAAGAGGCCAATACATGATCCCGCGTACAGTTTCCTATAAATGAGGTTCAGTTTGGTCTCAGTTAACTCTTCTGAGCAGGAAACATTGAATTTTATTAGGTATACACAGAGTTAACAAATATATTTCCAAACAGTTTCGTATTCCACATTTCGAAACGCTTTACATCCCATAGCGGACGTTTTGCATGGTTTCTTCCCTGTGCCCTCAACGACTCGTGGTCTTTCTTAGCAGTTGTCTTCCCTAAGCTCGGACTTAGGCATAAGGAAATTAAGAAAGCAAAAGAAAACAAAAGCAAATCAATGGAGTGGACCCAAAACCTGATGTTTGAACGTGTTGGTCTGCCTTGAATTTTATCCAGAAGAATTCAACAGACTGCATTCTGAGCTCATGGCAAGGCACCTCACCCCAGCCACTGGGCAACCGGGGCCCCGAGAAGCTGAGTGACAGGAATGGAGTGGTGAGATACACAGTACCGGGACTCAGCATGCTGAGCTAAAAAAAATAGTTTTTCCTAATATGTCCAGTTTAAAAACTTGTCATTAAACACCAAAAATATTAAAGTCTAATTTATAACTAACGTTTGCATTGCTGCTGCAGAAAAGAACACAACAGCCGTCTTGCCCATGCTCTGCTGAGTGTGAGTGGGACGTAGCCAAAACCGGGGAGGGCATTCAGTTCGGTTCATTAAAAACAGGTAGGATTATACGGGAAATGGATTTAGGTAGCGCAATTCTTGTAGGTTGTAATTATTGAATTTTCTTTTTTTTTTTTCCTTTTTTCCCAAATAATGAGGATCAGTAGATGAAAAATGAACCTTAATCAGGCCTACAAGGCCTACAGAGTTCTTTGGACCCACTTTCTCAAAAACCAGTGGGTCTTGCTCGCTGGGCAAGGCAAATGTTACCATTACCAGTAAGCTTGTGATATGTATAAAACACACACACACACAAAGAAACTATGGGGGGATGTCAAACACGTATCGTAGAGAGCTTCCCCCCGGACTGTGTTTGACCCATTTCTCACCCCGGTAGCGCCGACCTCAGGAGCCCAGTCTCCGCTACTGGATAGAGCATCTAAGTGTGTTTAATCGATAGTGGGAGCCGGAGACAACACTCTTAATCTTTATAGGTGCAATTTGTAATGACAGGTTTAGGAGGCTTCCCGATTCCCTGATCGCTCTCCAAACTAGGCCAAGTGCCACACTGAAGGTTTAGAGGAATACAGTCCCTGCGAAAGGTCACGGACAGTAGAGCGAGCAGCCCTAGAAAAACGGGGAGAAGAGAAATCCATAATAGCACGGGTTTACAGCGTCTAACTAGAAATTACTCAGTAGTATTCGTGTGCTACAAAATCGAACTTAAACACATGGATGTCGCTGAAACAGGACTCAAAAAGGATTATGGGTAGCTGTCAGCAGGCAAGGTATCGAGTGTACTTGTGAAGTATGTCATTCTCATGAACCGTCACAGTCACAGAAAAGAGATTAAAAAGGCATTCCATATCTGGTAGGGCATTCCATGGTCTGAGTTTAGCTGGTTATCCAGGTGTCTTCTTGTTCTGGGGGCGCCGCAGGTGGAGGTTCATCCGCTTGCAACCAAGAAGTTCGGGACGGCCGAGAGCGGGCCTCGGCTTCCTTGCGGCCGCTGCCCGGCCGCGGGCGCGGGAATGTCTGGCAAAGGATAAACCGCTCCACCGTGCTCAGGGCGGGTCAGTCACAACACCTGTGAGGATCTGGCTATGTCGTCTTACTTTTGTTGACTGGTTTGCCGCCATTCATTATTGCCGACGCGCTTGTGCTTTTACTGGGCGTCACCCCGGCCTTCGGGACCGTTTCGCCGACGTCATGCAAAGATGGTTCTCGGTACATGGCCACTGGGGGCGGGCGGGGGGGCGGGGGGGGGCGGAGGGAAGGAGACAGGACCTGGTTAGGTTCAAGCATGGCCAGTCCCTTCGCGCCTGGAGTCACGCCACCCCGCACGGCAGAGGGAGTTGCTGTGTTGGAGCTGTCACTTCCCGCCCCCCACTGCGACAGAGCTGAGATGCGGACATGGGTGCCCGTGGGGTGTTGTCTAGGGCAGGACGTGCAAATAGGAGCTATGGCCTTTCTGTGGGCCTCAGCTATAAAGTGCACACAGGCATACACACACACACACACACACACACACACGATTGGGGGGGGCGGCAGGCGAGCACTTAACCTAGTTCTCTTTGCACAGCTAGGAAAACTCAGACTTCCCTTCCAGGGCACACCGATGTCAACCCCTGAATCCCTCGTTCCCATGCATGTTTTCGAGGCCAGGTAGGTACTCCCTACATCATGACAGTATTTTTCTCTCAAAAGCAACACAGTCACACTTGTGTCAACTTCAAAGCTACCCCAGGCAACGACCAGGAGCTCACTTCCCTGAAGCCAGGGCCTTCTGGGGATCAGTCTTGAGATCTCCTCTCCCTCCGTCACGGAAACTGAAGGCACGGGCGGGGCATTTTGTGTTTTTATGCCTCGTGTCCTGATAGCTTGTTAAAAATAAGGCTGGAGCCGAGAATGGCAAGACCGCAGGTGGGAGCGAGGCGCCAGTGAGCCCCGAGGAGCTGGGGGCGTCCGGTGGTGCAGCTAATCACCGCCGCGGATCCGGCTGTTCGGAAACTGACTCTAGGGGATCCTGTGCAAGGACGTGTAAGGCTGACTTGGGGGAAATCAGCAGAGTTAGAATCGTCTGCCGTCATAAACACTAGTGAGTTAGAGCCGTCTAGCCCACTTTTTAGGCTTTGCGGTGTGTTTTGTTTATAGGCTATGTTATGAAGAGACGCTCCGTCTCTTCACAGTCAGGTGGGTGGACTGTCAGGCACCGTCCACGCTCAGTGTGGCAGGAACACAGAGCTCGCGTCCACACCCCATGTGGATTCTCACATGGCTTTGAAAGCTCATGTGTCCACCAGACCTGTGTGAGAGGGGTCAGCAAGGTACTAGAAGGGATTACTCTTGGTCTTTGAAGCGCTTCCCAATCTCTCACTCCCACTCCTGATTCCATTAGGAGACAATAGCGTCAGAGCATTAACCTTGACTGTCCACATGGTGAAGCCGTGTGATGAATGCCCCAGAGCATCAATAATTACTCAAGTACCTAATTTGCCCTAATGTTTCCAATCATATAATTTACATCCTGTAGGGGTTTTAAAGGTTTGAAATTAATCTTCCTCTATAAATTACACTATGTGATAACCTCCATCATGATAATACCCTCTTAGTTGTTTTTAGGGGACTTCTGTCTGCTAATTATTTGAAAATACTGTTTCTCTCTGCCTCAGAAATCCATGAATGCACAACGCACACATACACACAACTCTTCAGTGTGTGATTCAAATGCCAAGTGATACTATTACACCACATCTCAGTTTTAGATATTTCCTCCTAGGCAGACAAAAACAGCTGGTCTCCAGCTTTGGCCTCAGTTAGGGGACATCAAGCCTCTTTTGGTTTTCATTACGTTTATGCAGCTAGATGATAAGGTTTTAGAATTGAGTTAGTTCATATCTGTTCATATTCAAAACAAAGGTTAACATAAAGAGACAAAGCAATGTGGCAAATAAACAAGATTTATGGACATAGTTTTCAAATGTTTCACTTGCATTTGAATATTGGTGAGTCTGATGGTCTCAGTTCATTTAAAACAGGAAGGCCAAATCACAGAGGTGTTACTTTGGAAGGACAGCAAAACCCTCTCATTTCTTATTTCTACTCTGTCTGGTGATCTATCATATAATGAGAATAATTCACTCATATTTCAGACTCTGGCATGATTTTTCTTATCCAGGATAGGCCCCTATGGCTTACTGTCTAGGCTTCAACGGCTTGTTCTGTAGGCAAATCTAGTTAAGGGGATAGTAAGTCATCATTGTTGAAATTATAAAGATGGTTTAACCAACAAGAATTGGTTTTCCAAACATAGGCAAACTGAAAGCTGAATTATACATCCACAAATAATTAATAATCAACCTTTAATATTTGGAATTATCTTATTCCTATCTAGAGAAGATGGATTCCTATATAGAGAAAATCAATACACATTTTCTCTTGATGGCTAAACCTTTCTTCTAGGAACAAAAAAACAAAAAGAAAATCAAACTAAGTTAGATGAAAGTGTTTAAATAGTTTTCGTAGATCTGCTTTTCTGCCAAAGGTAAATAAAAGTATTTGACTAGACAACATTTTTGAAATGTCTCATGTTTAATTTTTTTTTTCTAGTTCTCAAATATTAAGGACAAGGTAAATGGCACTCCTGGCAGAATCCTTAATGAGAAAGGTGCAGAGGTTTCTGATTAATTAGCAACGCTTTATAGCCTCTCTCTGAAAGTCTGATAAAAGTGAATGCGAAGGCGTCATTGTTTACAAGTGACTATAAAAGAAGGAGGTGCCACACCCAAGTTTACTCTGAAAGGGACAGGTGACACCAGCAAGCTCTTTAAAGGCCAGGAGATTAGCTCATTTTCTGTAATTACAGTAATTCACAAGGATGTGATGACTTTCAGCTGGATACCATCAAAATGGGCAAATACTTGCGTTCCATAATTTTTGAAACTTAGCTATATATGGATATATGTGATATATTTTTATATATTTGTCAATCTGTGTATATATGTGTGTATAATATGTCTATAAAATATATAAACACACACATACACACAGTAAAGTGTACAAATCTTAAATTCATCCCTTAAGTAGACATCTGTGTGGCCACCACTCAGATCAAGGTATGGAAAATTTCCAGCATTCCATGAGGGTTCCTTGTGGCCAGTGTAGAGTTAGCAATGGGAAAAATAAATGTGTCACAGACCGAGAGGGATAATGTTCACATAACACTCACCTTCCAATGGCTTGGGTAGAAAATGAGCTGCTGGTTTGGTTTTCTTTACTCTGTTTCCTTTCATGACTTGCCCTTCTTTATTCAATCCCAAAAACCAGGCTCTACCAGATTCCTGTTGTCTGTACAGCATAGATGAGTAAATTACATAATAGTTTTCAAAAACAGATTCTTTAAACTTGCATTCAGGCGTAAAAAGTTCCTGTCGAGAGAAGAGGAAGAAATGACAGTTAGAGAAAACAATGGGAGTTTCTCTGAACTTTTTCTTCTTCCCTCCAGAAACCTGTCCACCAGGCTGAAGGAGTCAGCCCTGGGGCAGGGATGACTGGCCGCACCTGGTCCTGCATGGTTGTTTGTCCGTGTACTTTTTTCAATATACAATGAACAGAGAAGGATCTGCTGCTCCTGGGGGAACATGCATTGGCGGGAGTACGCATGTCCTTTCGTAGGAAACTAGGAGACGTGCGCAAAAAGAACCGTCTGGTTGAGACAATACTGTTCAACCAGAGTATAACCAGAAAAAGCACATTAAAGTAGCATCATATATTCACCATAGGCTAAACAAAAATAATTTATGATATTTGATCACCTATTTGCGCTATTTCCAAAGGAATATGTTAACCTGATAGTCGCTAGCCGTGCCCTGGATCACTGATATGACAGGGGGAGAGGTTTTACCTACAAAGACACAATCTGAAACTTCACACTAAAACCGGGAGGGTTGGCTGGCTCGCTAACCAGCCACCAGAGCGGAGGCTGGATGTTGCGTCGGTGGGCCGGCCGCAGGGACAGGAGCTGGAAATAATGACCTCATTCCATGCTACGGATCCCCACTGGAATTCTTGCAGGGAAACGTCAGCAGCTGCCCTCACCGCCGTCCCCCGGCGTTTCGGGAAAGGGTAACATGAATTAAGTGCCGTGACTCTCGGTGCTACAGTCCCCACTGGTGGACAGCACAAAGCTTACTACACCTTATGAGTATCATTAATGACATAAATATTCAAGAGCGACTTCACACACTTCGAAACCTTAGCTGACAATCTAAGGGGCGCCTGGGTGGCTCAGTTGGCTAAGCCTCCCCCTTTGGCTCAGGTCAAGATCCCCGGGTCCTGCGACCCAGTCCTGCATCAGAGTCCTTGCTCAGCGGGGAGCCTGCTTCTCCCTCTGCCTGCTCTGCCTGCAGTTCCCTTTGCTTGTGCTTTCTCTCTCTCTGATAAATAGTCTTTTAAAAAAATAATAATAATTTAAAAATTCAATCTTCCTAGTTATAGACACAGAAGCCACTTAAATTGTTTTTGTGGTCATTTTAAATAGTTCAACACTGTGCTATTTTATATATATGAAATACAAATGCAAAAACAGAGCTTTCTTGTCACTGATCTTTTAAAAAATATCACTGTACTTGAAAAAAAAATTCACCTTAATAGAGTTTTATGACTACAGAAAATAACTTGCTTTTCTTTTCTTTTCAAACATTATTTTCTGTACACACTCTGAAAAACACATCCTTTAGGGACTAAAAATAAAACTTGTCAGAGTTAAAGTTATGCTAACCATAATAAGGAATGTGACATTATTGCGTGTAGAAAGGTTCTTTCAATATTTCCCATGAGGGTGTGAATTATCAAATGGTGTCTCTTGCAGGATACAATTTATTCAGAGTGCCCTATTACTTTAATTCACTGAAAGCTAATAGTTTTCCAAGAGGAACAGGTTTTGTTAATGGCAAACTCTTTTCATGACGAAGATAACAGATCCAGTGATTAATTCAATGAGATTAAAAGTAGCCAAAAGATGGGCTTAGACTCTCCCAAAGGAATTTATGTAGGCCTTCATTTCTTCTAGATGATGCTAGCTCAGGTTTGAATGAGATCCCATCTAAATAAATGTTCTGGCTTTCCACTAAATCCTATTTTTCCAAATATCACCCCATTACTTCTCCTGCTAATAAACAACAGACTCGGGGAGTTAATCAGGCCAGGCTGCAGAAGGAAGACTGACAAAGGGGTGTGTGTTCACACGTCGTGATGAGGGAAATAAAGCGGAATGCTGTAAAGCTAGCTGGCTTGTTCTCAAAAGACTAATAAATACAACATATTGTTTCAATGTGCACCTTCCATGACAAATTAGACTTCCTTGTGTCACTTGTCTTTTATCAATGGCAGGCCAAGGCATCCAAGTAAATTACTTGAGACCAGTTAAAGCTCATCTCAAAACCAGTTGGGAGTGGAGTGGAGAAAAGCTGACCGTTGAGCCACACCATTGACTGACTTTTACCTGGAGACACCAGGCCTCCAGCTAGAAAAGCAGTTCCACAGAGAAGTCAAACCTTACTCCCATCTGGTCCCCACTGCCTTGATGAAGGATGACGGCACTACCATCGGCAAATGAGATATGCACAGTCTTTTTCTCCAAGGTGCACATGAAAGAAAATGAAGATCCTTGATGGGGAAAAAGTCCTTTGTACTCAGAGTTTACCTTAAGGACATCTGACATTAAGTCTTTTTGGATGAAATGCTTATCTCTGGGGTTTCTGAGGAATCATTCCACATTCTCCTTCTGGGAGCTGGGCCAGCGACTTCACAGATATATGGACAGGAAGGCAGATTAGAGAAATGTGATAGGGTCTTGGGCACCCCGATAATTACATAGACTTCTTATGAGCAAGAGGTAGATATGCAGACATCCCTTCTTGAGTAAGCAAGGGCATAATGACACAGCCCGGTTAGTATTTTATGGATACACATCTATTGTCAACGCAGAGAATGTTTCTGAGACAATAGTAACACTTATACACTGACATGTTGAAGCCCAGTCTCTTGCAAAATAAATTGTGCAACATGTGTATATTTGTGTTCACTTTCATAACTACTATTAATATAATTATCAAATAAGGAGAGAAGTAGTTCCAGAATTATGATGCATTGTTAAACTGAGTTATGAACCTTCTGGTATCCCAGATGGAAACAGAAAGTCTGTGTGTTCTAAAAATTCAGAAGAAAGAAAATCTTTTCTTTTTCTTGGGACTGACTTCTAAAAGGTATTTCCTTACGGGGAAAATGTGGCATTGAGCAAATGAACAAAATATAACACATAAACATACCTGCTCTTGGTGATAACCATACAGTCAACCCAGTCACAGTTTCGTGTCCGAGTCCCACAATATGCTTTAGGGGACAGATGGTGTAAGAAGTCCCACAGGTGGGCACTGTCACTGATGAGGTCCCTAGGGGACATGTGCCCAGCAGGGGTCACAAACTCAATGCCTCTCCTGACCAGGTGGGCTCAAGAGTGAAGGGGGCTGCTGTGATCAAGACACCATCAGGAGGCTACGTGCGCCCCCTACTCTCGGGCTCAGTGTTGAAGAGACAGAAGGGTAGAAAAGAAAAACCTTAGATCTTCAGTTAAGTCTGGTTTTCCAAAGGAAAAAAGAAAATCGGGTTTCTAAAATTTCCTTTTCATGGTGGCAGTTATGTCTTAGTTCTTGTCTTTGTTTTTCGACAGCATATAGACCATAGGTCGGAGACGGGGCCCACGAGCCTGCAGTGTGAGACCCCCCTGCCTCCATGTAGAGGAGCCAAAGTGCTGAAGAAAGAAGGAACCCCAGTTGGCTTAGCATCGCAGCCCGAACCGACCGTATGGCTCCGATATCTTTGAGTAATCCGATGAGAGCGCCAGCGAGATTCTCTAAAAGCAGCCGTGATAATATGAGAACGCTTATTTAAATTTCAGCTTAAATATAAACTCTCAGAAACTGCCGAAGCGAAGCAGAGACGGAGTTTGAAGTGTCTTTTCCTCGTCTTGCTCGCCTACGTGCAGAGCCCCCGACACCACAACAGAGTCGACGACAGCTGAGTCCCAGCAGAAGCCTCGATATTAATTTGTACCACTGCCAGACACAATCATCCACTCGAGGACAGAGAAACAGAACAATTAGACAAAAATTTCATATCTCCTTCTTTGTGATTGTGGTGAACTGAAAGCATCATCTGTGTTGTACTTATTATCTTCACAGCAGGGGCAGAATTCCTCTCCTGAGGCTTCTGGGTTCAGGATGAAAGAGGAGGGCGGAGGGCAGGGAAGACCCATGTTCCATAACCCATAACTAGCGAATAGCCAATAATTCAGGATAACCATAACCCAAGAACTAGAAGTGACTGTGAGGGTCTAAGTCCAGCACACTACAGACAAAGGGCCAGACACAGCTGCCCACCCTCACACTCCAAAGTTCAGGGGTGAATTGTCGAGACAGAGCTCGTATGGCCTGCAAAGTCTACAATGTTCGCTCTGTGGTGATTTGCCAAAAAATTTTGCTAACTCTGCTCTCAGGTACATTTTGAGGACGTCCCAACCGAGACAGATGGGGAGGGGGTGTTCATCTCATTTTTTACTGAAATGCTGAAGAGCTATGTATTCCCAAATTGAACTTGGATTGCACTTATTTTCATGTATACAAATGTAAACCATTTAAGTGGGAATTTTCATGACTTTCGTCCCTGGAAAAGCCCAAAAGGTGTATTATGCACTGGGGTTTCTGGTAAAGATACGCAAGTAATAGCCTGCAAATTCCTTTCGTCCCAGCATCATCTAGGACTAAATGAAAATTTATGTTTTGGTTAATATCTGCAAGTTTGCCTACCGATGGCACCACCACCTTCATTATTTCCAAAGGAAAATATAAAAATTAGGCATTCCAGATAAATTTACAGCATTTATTAGAATACAGGGCAAATCTCCAATGGATTAAAAAGACAGGGAAGAGAAATATTTGACATGTACTAGCATGTAGCCCAATAAGTAACTGTTATTAATAAAAAGTAAATAAATAAATAAAAAATAATAAATAAATAAATTAATTAAATAAATTTAAAAAATAAATAAAAATAAATAAAAAATAATAAAAAATAAATAAAAATAAAATAAAAATAAAATAAAAAATAAAATAAAATAAAATAAAATAAATTACAATAAGTAATTGCTGTTAATATTCTATTAACCTCTATATTTCAGAGTCATCAAAAGCTCAGTCCCCTCCCATCAATATCTCAGTAATGACCCCGACCCTGAACTTTGGAGTTCAGTTCCCCAAGCTGAGAGAAGGAGGGAGCCTCAGATTGCAAGTTCTTCCTTGAAGAACAGTAACAAATCATAAAGGTTTCTTGCAAATGTCAAATAAGATAATAGAGGTGCAAAGTGATTTGT